CAGATTTTTATATCTGAACTGGTGAAACTTTTCGTATTTCTGCATAGATCATAGTTGTTTTTTCAATTACTTGGAGCGTATCTACTTTTTTTTAGTAAATTTAGAATACATACAGATAGATAAGTGGATTTACATAGTGAAAGTTTTAATACTTTATCCTTTCCCAGTAAATAGCACAGCCAAACACTATTCCTTTGTGCTTTAGCATACGATAAACTCAAAACTAGTTTTTTGGTCTAGAAATAGCAAAACATTACTGAAGCAGTGTCAAAGCGAGAACCCAAGGCTAAAAATGCGATAACAATATACATATAAGAAGATAGTTTAGGAACCTCAAATTTTACTTATGGTAAGTGAATGTCTCATCTGCGACTTGGAAAGGGTGTTGAGCAGCTAGTCTGCAAATAGTTAAATATATTGAATGATGCCTGTGTGTGTGAGAGTAGGTAATCAGATTTATGTATGTTAATGTTCTATTTAAACGGCATAGGAATAGTTGTAAATATACAGTCTGCAATAGGTCTGGCTGCCAATTTGTAATATTTTGTATTTAAACTACTACCATTTAACTGTAGTACTTGCCTTTACATTTATTTTGCATTAGCTTCAGGCTAAGCCAACAAATGATCCTACAAAAGGTCTTTGGCATCTTATCTAGCCATTAAAGGCAGGAGCAGTTATAAGCTGTAGTATATTAATGTTGCACATTGTAATGAGCTCTATCAGCTCATCTTAGGGTTACTTTGGTGCCTCTAGACAGGTGTGCTAATCAAATTGCAGTTATCACAGATATTAAATTAATACTTGTATTGTCAAATGTAAATTGCCATTCCCTGCTACTTTCTGTACTAGGATATATTGTAATTGGACCAGTTAACTAGAAAATTCACTGAAAAAAGGATTGTTAAAAACTTCAAACAATGATGGGTAAAACATTATTCTTAATGGCTATTCTAATAACAGCATGTGCATTGATACTCATCCACTGCTCTGCCATATTATTTAACTTCTTTGTTCAAAAAGAGGACTAAATAGTGACTTAAAGGGAAGAGTGTATCTTAAAACCTCTTGTCAACAATGAAATAATAATTTGGCTGGAATGTTATCCTTAATCTTGAACTTTTCCCTTGTTAACCTTGAACTTGAAGGCAATGCTCAAAATATGTATATATGGATGTTTATATTATTCGTAAGAAATTTAGTTAAATATTTTTAGTCCCAAGATGGAGACTAATATAAAAAACACTTCTTATAAAATTATAAAGATTTTTCAATAAACATCTAGAGTGGCGTTTGTTCCTTTTCCTTACACTGTTTTTAATAGTTCAGTACTGCACTCCCTTTGTTGGGTCTATAGCAGAAATCCACTGAATACCATCAGCTGGCTGGCTGCTGTTTCATTCTGGTGCAGCAACGAAAGTTCCATGAAGACTACATGTATTTTGCCTGCATAAAGGATGTGGTGTTTGGGTTCCTAGTAGTTTGTCATAAGATGATTAGGGCCCTAAGCCCGCAATCATCTTAGTGAGCCAACACCTAAGCCTATACAGAATCTCAGCAGGGCTGATGTTTGAGGTTGCGAAATAAAATTCACCTTTGTAAAATGGAGAAAAAGAGAAAAATCAGTGAAAATAAATAAATATAGTCCGGCTTCTATTGCCAAGTGCAGAATAAAAATGTGAGTCTCTTGAAATTCTTTCCAGATGGTCACGGTTTTCCCCTGCTCATTTGAATGTTGTACTTTGATTGTCCTACATGCAGTAGTAAAATATAAATATGTAGGGGTCCAGGAGTGCATCATTTGTCTGTTGTAAAGAAACCAGCTGGAACAAAGTGGGCCACTGAGCCCATTGAACCTAGGGACATGTTAAGAATGCACTTACAGAGATTATTTATCAAGAAGACACTAGGTGTTTGCTCTAAACAGTGAGCTATTTCACCAGATAGACCTATAGATACAGCAGCTAGAATTCTTCCTATGAAATACTGTTCACAAGCTGGGTCATATAGCAATTTATACAGAAACAGTGTAGAGCTCAGCTACTTTCTGGTAATAACACTTTTGCAATAAAGTGAACCATCGGGTATAATAGGGTTGCTTAGTCAACACCAGTGATTGAGAAGGGAGCATAATTGGACAATTTTTTTTCTTAATTTGATATTATCTACATTTATTTTTAGAATATTTGTGGATCATATGTGATACAACAGTCCAGAACCACGTCAATTCTATTTTTTCTTCCCAATTTGTATTGTCATAATTGATGTATGAGATTAGATTTCTTTATTCTTTCCCATAGTTCCTACATCTGAGGTACTTGATTATCTTCCCTTTTTGTTTTCCTCATTCAAGTTCGAGTCAAATATATTCCGAACATAACTTTGAACTAGTTTTTGACTTTGGTCTTGTGGAGACTATGCAATTTTGTCAGACGAACTAAAAACAAACCAAAAATGAAAACTGACAATAGAATTGAAGTAATGCTGAATGTTTGAGAATACAAAAGAAGAAAGTTGTCTTTTGGAAATGGAATAAAAGTCTTTTTAGGAGCTAGTAAAATCTCAGCAGTTGGATTAAACTGGCTGTGTGTGTGTGTGTGTGTGTGTGTGTGTGTGTGAATGTATTTGTCTATGAACACTCAAAATATTGGTGGTATTTCAGAGTCAGCTAGTAAAGATCTGGTCCCTGCCTCAAAAATATGTATAAGTAGTGGTGATATCCATGTGATAAACCACATTTATCATGGTTTGACCCTTTATCATCTTACCTGTATTTTTCCCCACAAATCCTTCCATGCCGACAACTACTTCTAATATTCCAAATGCTTGAGCACCTTCAAACAGCCCCCCCTTAAATAGGCCCACAAAAAAACTCTGCCAGATAACTGTTTCCTTCCTTTCTTCCTCCCAAAATATGGAATTTCTCCCCCAAAACTACATTAGCGTGAGACTCAAGATGCATCATTTTGTTCCAGAACTGTCAGCAGTTTATTGTCCAATTGGTAAGAGTTGCAATATGTTGGAGCTAGAAAAAGAGATGTATCCTGTTTAAAAAGTCTGGAAGCCCACTCTCCAGTGGAATTCCCTGTTTGCTCAGCAAAGCTTGTTTGGTCACCTTCAGGACATGTTGCATTGATAATATTTTATTCAGGTCTTTATTTGTGAATGGTAGACTGAGTAAATAGAATTTTATCTGTGGACTGGAGGTTTCCTTTTTAGTTGTCTTTTTTATTTTAAACAGTTTTTATTTCCTGCTGATTGTTATGGGCACATTTTTAACAAATAAAAACCCTGCAATTAAGTTATTATGCTTTTTCACAGGACAGATTATTACATTGACAATTTTTACTTGGGAATTGGGGGAGGAGGGTGAGAGGTTTGCTTATATGAGAAAATAGACAATGTATGTCTTAATATCGTTTTTTCCTTTCAGTATGGGAGGAAAAGTACACACATTTTAAAACCATGTAAATGCTTTATGGTCTGTGGGGTAAGATAAATCTGACTTGGCATCAAAACAAGGAAATGCTTGGAAAAAACAATGTAGGAGACTAATTCGAAGAAACTTTTATTTTTTTCTTTGTTTTGATAAGAAGTCCTATTGCCAATAAATCAGTCTTTCAGGCAGACAGGATCATTGTGATTATTTAGTTTGACCTCCTGTATATCATAGGCCATAGATCAGGATTTCTCAAGCTGGGGTCCGTAGACACCTGGGGGTACCTGAGAGTACTCCAGGGGGTATGCTGGCCCCGCTGATCAACTCCTCCCCCTCCCTCCCTCTCTCCCTCCCTCTCAGTGCCTCCTACTGAAGCCAGAAGTCCAGCAGTGCAGCAGGCTTCCTACCTGCCCTGGCTCCACATTGTTGCCAGAAGCGGGTGGCACATCCCTGCGGCCCCTGGGGGGTGCAGGGAGTCTCTGCGTGCTGTCCCTACCCCAAGCGCCAACTCTGGAGAGGCCATTGGCCAGGAACTGCATCCAATGGGAGCTGTGGGGGCTGTGCCTGCGGGCAGGGGCAGCACGTGGAGACCCTCTGGCTCCCCGGCCTAGGAGCCGTTGTCAGAGGGAGGTGCCAGTCGCTTTCAGGAGCCACCTGAGGTAAGTGCCAGCTGGAGCCCACACATCTCACCCCCTCCCACATCCCAATCCCCTGCCCCAGCCCAGAGCCCACACCCTGCACCAAAACTCTGTCCCTGAGCTCACACCCCTCACCCCTTCCTACACCCCAACCTCCTGCCCCAGCCCAGAGCCTACACCCCGCACCCAAACTCCCTCCCACAGCCCACACCCCTCCTGCCTCAATCCAGAGCTTGAACCCCACACCCAAACTCCCTCCCTGAGCCTTCATCTCCTCCTGCACCCCAATCTCCTGCCCCAGCCTGCTGAAAGAGAGTGAGGGTGGGGAAGAGCATGCGACAGAGAGAGGGAGAGGGAGTGAGTGGTTGCTAAAGTTTGAGAACTGCTGCCATAGGTAGAGCCCTGAGCAGATACAAAATTTAAAAGACAATTGTATCTGCAGATAAATTTGTATCCACATCCAATCCATGATCCACAAAAATAGTCCATGGATATCAGATAAATTTTAAACTGCCACCACACTTTTTAGATACACTGTAGTCTAGATTAAATGTACTTGTTCTTTTGGTTAACATTACAGGGCATCAGTTTATCCATCTGGCCAAACTCATCTACCAAAGAACTGTTATCCATGTAAGTAGTCTCATTGAATTCAATGGAACTGCTCACATGGGGATAGTTAAGCACACATGTACATATTTGCAGTATTGAGGCCTGAATTATCCTCAGTGCCCTGGATGGAACAGTGGAGCTTGCACTCTCATAATCAGGGCTTCTTGTCTGTAGGGAAGGTAAGTGTGTCATGATCAGCAGCGGCCAGTATGACAGGGTTATCATTTACCTAATTTCCCATGCGTGGAAGTGTACGTCCTCCAGCAGAAATAGAATAAAAGGCTAGGCTCAAAAGAACACAGTTCGCATACCTGTTACCTTCTCTTCTCTCATTCATCTTTTCTGATACTGAATACGCTGTTCAGACAGCTGTTAAATCTCTGATTCTTCTCTGTGATCTCTATCAAGTGTAAAGGGAAATAGAAATACTCAGTTTGACATCTCTCAATGAATCAAGTAGAGTAATGGGTAGCATTTATCTTTTTTGATCCTGAAGTTCAAAAAGAAATTTTCTAATAACTTATTGGCAATGAAATTATTGTACTCCATAATTATCTAATTGTCGTCAAATGCCCAGAGAGCCACAACATAAATACAAAAGGAGATCCTGACGAAGATGCAGGCAGAGGACTCTGATGCATCTTCCAAGGACAATTGTCATCTTTCCAAATGCCCAGGTTTTTTAATACCATCTACTTATTTCTTGTGCACCCCTTTCCACACACTGTGAACATCAAGGGAATTCCCAAGTTGTCATGATGTATATCTTCCATGTGTGAATCATACATGCTCAGCCAAACTCTGTCTAGATTATGGTTTGCAGGTGCATATATCATCTTTGACCAAAATATGTAACTAATCAACATATCTGTTTGGCACTGCATAAGGTACACAAAAATGTGACTATTTTTGATGAGCCAATCTGAACCCCGTGGCATCCAAGTACAGTAACGCCTCACTTAATGTTGTCCCGATTAATGTTGTTACATTGCTGATGTATTAGGGAACAAGTTCGTTTAAAGTTGTGCAGTGCTCCCTTATAACTTTGTTTGGCAGCTGCCTGCTTTGTCCACTGCTTGCAGGATTCTCTGGAAGAGCAGCCACTCCTGGGGATTAGAACCAGGGGGCGGCCTGCAGCCCCCTCTCCCCCATCAGCTCCCCTAAATTCCCTGTAAGGTATATGGCTCCGCAGCTGCCCAGCAGCCATTCAGCTGTCCCTCCCCCCCACTGCCCTGCTGCTCCTACCTGCCCTCTGCCTTGGAGCTGCTCCCAGGAGCTTCCTGCTTGCTGGGGGAGGGGGCCACAGGGGTGCTGATATCCGGATGTCCCCCTGCTCCTGTCTCCCTCCCCCCACTCAGTAGCCCCTCTCCTCAAAGCGGAGGAGTGGGACAGGGCTCAGGGACAGAAAGGATGGAGCTTGCTGGAAGCTGTTGCTTCCTGTCTGAACTGGCTAATCTGCTTAAAAGGGCAACGTACTTGAAGTGGGGTCAGCATATTTAAAGGGGCAATGCATGTCTCTCTCACTCATGCATGCACCCCCCAGCACTTTGGAAAGTCAGCACCTGTGCAGCCGTGCATGTGCTGTCAGGTGGAGGGAGTGGTGCACTCCAGCTGGATAGTCTGGGCTCATCATCATGTTCAGTTTTTGCAGAGAAGTGTTTGCAGCTACTGCCCTGCATCTATTGTGTTTCTTCCCTCCTGCCTCAGTCCATGCTGCCTTGTAGAGTGTGAGGCTCTAACAGCATATTAACCTTGAGGGCTCAGCCAAGTGTTAGTTCATCATTTAGCGGCAAGGCGTTTCCTGGGAAACATTCCACCCTCTTACTCCACCACCTCAGCTAAGCTTCACAATCATTCATTGCTGTGTACAATATTAAACTGTTTAAAATTGTTTAAAACTTATACTGTATACATATATAATGTCTTTTTTCTAGCACAAAAAATTTCCCTGAAACCTAACCCCCCACTTACATTAATTGTTATGGGGAAACTGGATTTGCTTAACATCGTTTCGCATAAAATCACATTTTTCAGGAACATAACTACAACATTAAGTGAGGAGTTACTGTAGATGACTGCTGTAGGCCCAGTTTCTGTTAAGTGTTATTGTCTAGTGGTCAGAATTTTTGTCCTTGGGTCATCCAAAGAGTGATTATTTTATGGTGGATAAAGTTTGAAAACCATTTTATTACTTATTGGTCCAAATTGTCCACATCTTTGTGTGGCATCCAAGAGTATCTATGAATTTCGAAGAGGTTGGAACTGTAGTTCACCTGCATTAAAATTTTTACAGCATTGCTTGGTAATCAGAACACTCCTATCTTAATGTATTTTAAAAAGGAACCTAGAGTTAGTTTTCTGAGTAGAACTGGTTGGAACACTTTCAATTAAATGAAATTTTGTCAAAATATATTTTTTGCTTGAAGTCACAATCACTTTTGGAGAGACTAATCTGGTTCAACAAAGTGGTCTTTTGGGTGGTGTGGGTGGAGAGTTGTTTTGTTTGTTTTTAAGGGATGGGAGAGAAAACCAGGGTAGAGCTCACACTCCATAGCCTGATGGTTAGGGCATTGTCTGGGATGTTGACGATCCATTTCAAGTCCCTGCTTTTCTGGATTCAAACTGGTCTGAGATGAAAAATTTTGCTCTGAATCAGGTGGTGTAGGACTTGAACTGAGGTCTTCCATATCCCTGGCTGGTGCCCTCACCACCATATCAAAGAGAGGTACACACACAGCCCCTGTTTTCCAAAGGTTTTATTTTTGTTCCAATGTGGAATGAAAACAAAGGTCAAATTTCCAAAGTTTCTATGAAATGGCCATGCTCTATATGGCACCTACATAAGTGGCTTGATTTTCAAGTGTGCCTAGCTACTCCTAGCAATTCATTTGAGCCACAGAGTTTACAACTTGATCTTGGGAGTGTGAGAGAACATACCATCACTCTGACCTACAGAGTCCATGGAAATCAGGAAAGTAAATGTTACATTCAGCTGTTAATATCCTGCAATAGACTGTTATCTCCAGATAAATGACCCTCATTAGTAATTATTCAATGTAAAGTGAAACAGCTATTTTAAATCTTTTCACAGACTGATTAATTGGATTACTTATATTTATCACAATTTCACTATTCAGTAAACATTCAAATAATGTAAACTGAACTAATCAAAGGATGACATTTCTGTTAAATACAATTGTAGGGTAAAGAGATTGTTGCAATCTGAGGAGCAGAAGTGCCAAATTCCAATGTTGAGTTGTATACTATAATATGTTAGCTTGTTCCAACTCAGGCTCACAGTCACTGCATAGTGATGATAGAGTAACTATTCAAGCTTGTTGAAAATTGAAGAACAATTACATTTAAAATCAGAATTTTGGAGTTATTTCCTTATCACAAGGTTTGAAATGAAAGTTTTTTTAACTTTTCTGCAAAATGTTTTAAGAAAAAATTCTGATTCTTGTTTTCTCTCCTATTGACCTTGAAATTGGTGATGTCTAGGATTTTTTTCATTTTCTTCATTCTAACTTTTTTATAACTATTCCAGCAAAAGGAAAAATGAAACTCTAACTTTGCCACTCTACCTTCTCAAAACTTTCTGAACATGGAAAAATTAGAGCAGCTAAGTTAGCATTTCCTTCTATTTATGTGAAACCTTTTGAAGTTTTGTGTATGTTTATTTTGTGGAAGTTTTGGCTTTTATTTATTAAGTTACTTAGAACATTTTTCATTATTCAGCCAACTCTAATTGTCAACAAAATCAATATTTTGTGGATAATTCACAAACATAAAAAGGAACTACATGTGCTGCCTAAATTACTAGCAATTAATTAAACCAGTTCTATTTGTGGGTTTCAGTATAAAGCTACAAATTCCTAAAACTGTGTTTAAAAAAAAAAAACCACTTAACATTAAGGAGTGTTGAGACAACTTAAAAGAAAACATGGTCATCCTCCTATTGATGAGTGGAGGGACACATTTTCTGCAAAACTGGCACTCCAGAGCTCAGAGATATTGCAGTAGGACAATGCTGCTCTGCAGCATTAGGTAAATCCCTTATTCTTTTTGATTCAGCTTCTCCAACAATAAAGTGCGGATAGTAATCCTCAAAAAGGGTATTGCAATGATCAGTTCTTCAATATACTAAATAGAATATAAAGTCCTGAAATTTCATAGACATATATTATAATGTACATACCCTAATAGCTCTTTCCTGAGTCTATATTCTATGTGCCAAATTCAGCCCTGGCATACAAACTCCAAACTCCCATTGTATCCTTCCAACCTTTCTTAGGCTGTGATCTGATATTTTATGTACATCTTTTAGGATAAGTCTGTACTGCAATCACAGGATTCATTTGCTCCTTGAGTAAGCCAATGGTCTGTTCACAAAATGGTGCTCTGAGATTTTCTTTTTCGTATTTCTCCATTAGCTTCCTGTGCTGATTTGTTAGTGAACTATTTGTAAGAAGGCCAGAATTTTTTAAAAATATTTCATTGTTCAGCTAACAAATAGAACAGCATTTCAAAAGGTCTCCAGAGCAAGTCAGTGGATTTTCTCTCAATGAATACATTAACAAATAACCATTATCCTCTCTCCAACCATATTCTACCTATAAAGGCAAGGGGTTCCACTTAGTTTTGTTCAGGCACTAGTAAGAAAACATTTTGGACTTCAATAGTCTAAATCAGATACATGGCACTTTTCTAAATCACCACAGCCCTATCATACCCATCTGTCCTACAGTCTTGGAGAATTGCATAACTGAAAATTGCTGTGTCCAGGGCATGTGGTTTGTCTAGAGAACTGATTGGCAAAAATATTTTTTTTCTCACCTAGAGTCAGGATAGAGAGGAAAGGAGCTGGATGTAAGAAGGCACAAACATAGGAGAAATGTAGACAAGACTTGAAAGCATCTGCTTGGTTCAAGAAATCCAAATTTCCTGGGTTTTGGATTAACCCCAAAACATATGACTATTTCACTTTATAGCTGATCTTAATTATTTGTTTTGGAGCAATTGCATGTTAAGTTTGATAATTTTACTTTGCTTATAGCTGACAAAGAACAATGAGCTTGGATTATTCTTGCCAAGAAACTATAATTTTTTTGTGTTTGGAAGTGTTTTGCTATTAATACATCTGGCAAGCTTACCTTGGGAGTGCCTCAAAACTCATTTTTACACTTTTTTGTTGTTGGAAATGTTGGGCTGTTCGATCACTTATGTCATAAAGGCTCCAGCTCCATTATAACACTATCTAAGGGACAAAATTGAATAGCTGATGCAGTGAAAGATGTGGGGTTTCCTCTATGTGGGAATCACATGGAAATATAAATTTCCATTAAGAGAGAGTTGGATAAACACCTTGAATCAAATTTTGCATCTCATCCAAGCAGCCTTTAGGTGGGGGGAAATATCTGAGAAATTTAGAGCAATGTTCAGATTTCTTTGCAGAAGGAGATAGAGAGGGAGAGCAGTCCAGGCAGTAATTGGCATCATATTAAACTGGATGTTTATCACTTCTTTCAAAGTGCAATGGTAATGAAATACTTTTATGGGAACAAGTGTACCTGTGCTGGCAAGATATATTGTTAACAACCCAGAAGGTCACAGTATTCTTGTTACTGCTGAGTTGTGGCATTATTTTAATTGGGCTTTGCCACTGATCTGAATGCTTAATTTGTAGAAGAGATACCTAAGAGCATGTGACTTTGAAATCAAAACATAAAAACCTCCCTATACCACAGGATTAAAGCTGGGGTTAATACCAATGTATACTGTCCTTTATACCGGCTCACTGTACTAACTCAATGGGTCACTTGACATTGAATATTTCCAGTCAATAATTCTTATTATGTTTAAAGTACGTGGAGTAATTAAAAGTGTGTGAGGTAGGAAAACTGGGTCATTGAGTAAAATGAAATAAAAGGATATAAATCAAGCATTAAGAAGGTGAGTTATTTGTGCTTGGTTTCTGGTTCTATAACACTAATGTCTTAATCTCTACTCCTAAATAAAGCATTTGGGTAGTCTGAAAATAGTCACACTAACACAAAAGGTATTTGCCATGATTTGGGGCATAATTTTTGGAAACAGAATGAGAATGGTTCATTAACATGAATCCTCCTTCATAACCAGCTAATTTTGTGGGTGAGTGAGTCTTTTCTACCTCCTCTCCAACACCCGCAAAACCCTCTGTCTGAAACTGAAGTTTCTACCAGCAACAGTATTTCTGCATGTTTTTACATCTGGTCTAGAGACTGTTTTACCAAGACCAAGACCAGCTGTAATGGCTCGTAAAAAAGGATCAGAGTCTTTAGGCCTGCTGCAAATTGATTTACAATTTTACAATATCTGCCATATCTAACCAATTACTCAAGTAGAATTAATAATTATGTGTTTGACAGAATATCTTGTGTATTTCTTTTTTTCAG